AACATGGTAACAACCCTTTCTTCCATGACAAAATCAGAAAATATGCGTTCTATCAAATTACTTTATATTAAACTGTCATCTAAGCAACAAGTATTTTGTACGCAGATATTCATTCTAATGGAGAAGCTTGGCCGCTATGTACTATATGTCCTGGACAAATACAAACACAAAGTTCACATTATTGATCCTCGAGAAACGACTCACGAGGAATTTGAGAAAGAAAAGATAGACATCGACGAATTGGAAGAAGAAGAAGCATGTCGAGTTCTTCAGGAAAATGAAGATGCTAAAGAAGAAAGAGAAAGACAGTTTCATGAATATCATGTTCATAAGTTGGCAATCGTAAGCATTTATACATAACAATTTTTTCAGTTTTACAAGTTACAATATTAAAACAATTAATTACAAAATGCAATATTCCTAGGTACCTAGGTTTAAAGAAGTCTTCAACATCATACTAGGACAAACACTGAATCCCAAGGGTACAAGATGGCAGACTCATACCATGCAAGATGCTCCAGTGGTAGAAAAGGGAGAATCAACATTTGCTGTTTTAAAGCTTGCATTCCTCTACAATGGTGAAAAGTTTGTCGAAGACCTGAAAGATTTGACAGTAAGTTTATACATATTTACTTATAAACAGCTTATATGCACAAACTCTAATAATATACTTCTCTTCTCGGCAAAATTTCACGGGCTGAGGTCGAAGACTGGAGGGCAGAGGCAATGTACATTCTCTTAAATAGTGAGATGAATCAAGTCAAAGCTAGTGAAATGGGTGATGAGATTAGCAAGATCTTAAGCAAAAATGAAGAGTAAAACTTTTGATTTAGCCCGAGAGGCTAATTCTATCTAGACGTGAGAAAACAGTTTGTCAATAACTCACATTTATATGCAATGTAGTTAGAAATTGTGTGCTCATGTTGAAAAGAGAACTATTTCGACAACAGTGCCTCTTACATCATAAGAGAGTGCCATTAAACTATAAACAACAACGCATCTTCTTATTTGTACTACAGCAGTGACTCCCAAAACGAACCCTTACGCCTGACTCTAGAAAGCACCGTCCCGTGCCTCCAGAGACGACATGGCCCTGTGCCACCAAACCCTGAGTTACCATGCCTCCGAGCAATATCCATACACACACATACCCTTACGCGTGACTCTCGAAAGCACCGTCCCGTGCCTCCAGAGGCGACATGGCCCTGTGCCACCAAACCCTGAGTCACCATTCCTCCGGGCAATATCCATA